CCCGAGCCCCCGGCGCCCCCCTTCCCCGGCCCTACAGCTCCAGGTGCACCCCGCTGTAGGCTTTATCCACTGTCCACTCGCCCGGGGCCCCCGGGCCGGCCCCCGCGTAACGCTCCATCTCCTGCTGGAACTGCAGCTGCCGCCAGCGGTTGGGGTCCACGTTGATCCAGTTGTTGGCGATCCATTTGGTACCTTGGGTGACCAGGCAGCCCCCGTGCAGCGCGAAGTCGTCGAGCTCCCCCACCCAACCTGCGGAGCGAAAAGCCCTGTTAGGAGGCGGTGAGGAGTGCTGCGGCACAGGCAGGCACGGCCGGGGCCGCAGAGGGAGGCACGGCCAAAGCGCCGGCTTGGATTTTCGCTCGGGTACATCTTAGGGGAGTTGGCTCCTCCTGGCGCCCCTCCATCTCGGTGCTACCCCACCCTAGAACCCATGAGGAGTTCACCAGGGCAGGCTCCCTGAGTGCAAAATGCTCGTTGCCTCCATGTCTCCCCTCAGCACGAGGGGCTTTCGTATTCTGTGTCACAGTTGCTGTTTTTCTCAATTCTTCCCCAAAGGGGAGGCTGTTGTGGAAGAGATGTTTGCTGCCACTAGAAGGCCTGTGGAAGTCAGAGGCTCATGGCCATATTAGAGACTGCATTTCAGCAGTTCTAAATGATCCTCTTTTCACAGAGGTTCCACATTTTTTCTGTGGCTGACTTGCATCAGCAGCTGCCTTCCATTTAGGAACAATTTGCTCATAAAAGCACAACAGGGCTCTTACAGGAGAGCGATGGTCTTGATATTATCATCCAACAGCTCAAACGCTGGTCTTGTGTCCTCTGTGGATTTTCTAGAGATGGAAACATGGGCTGCTCCCAGGGGTCCTGGGATGCTATATTCCATCCTCCCACCACTGCTTAGAATCTGCCATCAAAATACTCTGGAGTCATGCTCACCATCAGCCTGGAAGATTGATGTTAATCCCCTGGTCTGGCTGTCAGGGAAAATCCATGCTGCACTTTGTGAGAAAAACAGCCCCAAGGACACAAATCATCAGGCTGTGGCTGAGCTTTAAAGCAGGAGTCGGCCCCAAGCACGGCAGAGCCTTGCGCAGGGCGGCCCATGCCTCCCGAGCTGCAGAGCTGATGGCCGTGCCTTTGTCTACCTCCCCTCCCCACCCCTTTGGGCAACACCACATCAGTGAAACATTTTGAATTGCAGACCAAGTTCCAGCAGGAGTTTCAGCTCGCACAGCGGGATGGGAGGCAGCTGCCCATGGCTAGTGCAGTCAAGGTCTTTGTTTGCTAGCTAGTCCCGTCCCCCAAAGACATCAGGAGCCACTGACCTACTGCCTGTAAACAAAGGCTTTTCAGAGTCAGGAAGCTCCTACACAGCTGGTGACAAGTAGACTCTACAGTTCCCACTAGCAGGCAGCTACCACCCTTTGGCTCTCTTCTGAGCTCCCAGCCGCCACAAGAAGACGGCTATCACCTCCTGCAGCCCTACCCCTTCCAAGAACCGAGTCTTGAAACGAGCCCGTACCTTCTCCATCTGACAGGTAGTTGTACCAGAAGACAGCAGTGCCTTGCTGAGGTTTCACTCGCAAATTGCCCTTGTCGCAGTTTTTCCGAGTATCTCGCAGGTCAATGTCGTTCTGGATCAAAGACTGGCAAGAAACAACAGAGAAGGTGTTGCAAACGGGGCTGGAATGAAGCGCACGCACTGGGCTACCTCTGCTGCCAGCCATCATCCTGCCCTTTGCCTGAACACCCCCCAGGGACAGCTCAAGGCTGACACTGGGCAGGACAGGGCTTTTACAACCCACTCAGAGCGGGCAGTTTCAGTCCCTTGGAGGTCTATAACCTGTTTCTGAGCAGCCACTCGTTCCTCACACATTGCCTGGCAGGAGCACAACATACCTGCCAAGATTTAGTCTGAGGAAACCTGCTTAGACAGAAGCAAGCAGGACCTGTGTTATGGCAGCAAGGCCAAGGGGCCGCCCCTCACACCTCTGAGCAGGGAGAGCTGCAGCTGTCCAAGCCTTGTGCCTCTTCCCCTGGCCTCCGAGGGAAAAGACCATAAGCAGAGCACAGCTTCCCCGTGCTCTAGCTACGAAGGCTGACGTCTACCATCCTCATGCACCAGACACCTTCTGCAGTCACAGCAAATAACAACATTCAAAGAGGAACTCAAAATTCCCAGGCAAGATTCATTTACCATCTCTTCGTACGTCCTGTTGTCAGCTATAGGAAAGACTGTTTCGCCTCCCCCAGTCACGTTGTTCAGGTAGAACAGCACCGTCACGTACCTGCAAGTCAGAGTGGTTGTCAGGGGACACCTCTGGAACAGGAGATGCACAGGGGCTGTGCGTTCCCTGCTCCTCCACCATACAAACAGCCATTCTGAGACATCACAAGATATGATTTACATCATCAGCTCTTCTCCAAGGACAAGACAAGGACAACAAAGAAAATCCCCACCCGCAACGGGTGAGGGTGTGTTTTAGCTTCTGGTGGGGATGGCCCAGCAGCTCTGCAGAACCACTCTGCCCTCCTCACGTGGACCCACAGGATTCACCCACCTCCCCCTTCAAACTCCTTCACACCAGCGATCTCCAAAGCTGGTTTTGTGAGCCCAAAACCTGCGCCCCGAGTCCTAGGGGAGCTGAGGCGAAACGGCTCTCGGCACCTTGTCCCTAACACGTTCTGGATGGTGCCAAGGCAGATCTTACCGGCAGGAGGTCTCAAAGGGAGCGCTTTCATTTGCGACCAGCTTTGTGTGGCTGCAGGCAGTCTCGGGGAAGACAGGGCCACTGTCCATGTGGGCATGGTAGTGCCCTCCTTGGTCGTACCGTACAACCTGGAGGGGCTCGCTGTGCTCCACAATCTCAGGGGGCAAGCGAGTCAGGCGCATTACCCTAGGGAAGAGGAGAGGCAGAGCAGAGCAGGTGAGGGGAAAGTACCGTCACCCCGATCGGCCACTACTCCCAAGCCGTGAACAAATCCAGAGAAAAATAACCCCCTTCCCCAAAAGACCGGAGAGACAGATGGGCTGCAGCAAGCATGCCAAGAGATAACTAGGTCCTTACAGATCTGTTGGACCATCAGCATCAGCTCAGAAAGTCCTCGTCAAGGTTAATTAAAAAACCCCAAAACCGAAGGGTGCATCTCCAGCAGGACTGCTTTCAGGAAGACTTTCCTTGCTCAGCAAGATCCTTTCTCTGTGTGTCCCTGGAGAACTTCATGTGCCATCTCATCGCTTCTCTGGACTCCTGCACACCACCTACAGACCTCGGGGACAGTTAGCAAAGCACAGGGCCGCTGCTGAGAGTAAACGAGAGACTAGCTCTAGGAATATTCTTGTCACCTAACTCACCTTTCCCTGTTGCCTTTTCAGCAGCCTCCCCCCAGGGCAGAGGGGCACTGGAAGGGATCAAGGAGACCGGAGCCCTCCTGCTCTGGGATTTTTCCGTTGCTACATCTGAGATCGTCCCCAAGGTCTCCAGACCTGCCAAAGAACACTCAGAGCTCTGAGTATCCGGAGCGGTGGAGCCTTCGAGGCAGGTGCAAGGGAAACGAGGCACCCAGGCAGGGTGGCAAAGCCCCTCCAGGCACCGCACGGTCCCAGGGAGGACTAACAGCCTCCTTCAGCGCTGTGTCTTCACATCCGTGTAACAGTGGCCAGCTGAAGAGCGTAAAAGCAGAATGCCAATGCAGTGTGTGCTGGCTCGCTGGCACCGAGAAGGTGGCAGCCACAGTCTGCTCTAATGAAGGCAATATGCGACCCCATTCTCCCACTGGAATGCACTGAAGGAGTGGCCAACAGCCGTTTTCAAGCCTCAGGACAGATTCTACCCACCCATGTTCTGGGTGAGGATCAGCAGCACAAGAACAAGAGTCTCCAGCCAGTTATCTGAAACTCACCACAGCTAAAGGATTTGGCCTGCGTGCTGGGTTTCAATGCTTCCCAGTACCAAATCGGAGATGAAGGGAAGGGTAAGAAGTTCTCCTGTCTGCCGTGAGCTGCCCTGCAATACATGTGCTTGGAGGATTAAACTAAGTCGGCTTACTTGAGGGTGAAGTTGTGCTTGTTAAAAAGTCAGCTCCGAACAGCTAAGACAGATTTCAGTGAAATGCATGAGTAACTAAAGCAAATGACAGTAACTGCTGGCACCCAGACAGCATTGGAAATGGGCAGTTTCTCCCAGTAAGCTCATTTACTAATTAGAATGAATTATTTCATATAATGCCAAGTCTTCTTGGTTTTATGGGGCTGTTCCCAAAAGTGAATGGAAATGCTGAAAGGTTTGATTTTTCTTTTTCCTTTTCCACAGGACAATACAAATTCTTGTTCTAATGAAAACCTCCTCTCCCCATTTCGTGTCTGTGTTCATTGCTCTTTATACTCCAAAGGCTTTCACACAATTAGAAAGTGTGAATATTAGCAAGTGTGCCACTGCCTCTCCCAGCACAGGTGGTCCTCGTGCCTGCACAAACCCCACCGTCCCTCGGCTGCCTGGCCCTTACCTTTGCCGTACAGCTCTCATGACCTGGTGTGCCCCCTCGCCCTGGTACAGCCAGGTGTGCTGGCTGTTCCGCACCAAGTCACTCATCTTCACTTTCTGGCTTCCCATGTACTTGTGGAAATCGCGGATATTTAGTTGTTTGAACTCCTCCAAACTCAGCACACCTATGGGAAGAGGAAAAGCCGGCTGACTCTGGTGTAGGTAAAAGTTCTTGCTGTCCTGTGCTCGGAGAAACCACCAGCTGAGGGCACTGCAGAAATTTCCTTCCACAAACCAACCCCGCTCAGGGTCCACGGGCTGCACCCCCTGTGTGCAGGCCCCAGCAGCGCTCTCGCCTTTAGGAGAGGGCACAGAGAGAAGTGAACTGTGAGCTGCTGCGCAGGGTCACAACTGTGACAGGCAAAATACCCTTTTGAACTTTAAAAAGCTACTAAAACACACAAACCCCTCACTCCAAAAAGGCCATTGAATGACTCGAGCGTGGCCAGAGAAGGGCAACGGAGCTGGGGCAGGGTCTGGAGCACAGGTCTGCTGGGGAGCGGCTGGGGGAACTGGGGGGGTTCAGTCTGGAGAAGAGGAGGCTGAGGGGAGACCTCCTGGCCCTCGGCAACTCCTGTCTCTTATAC